ACTTTAGTCACATTAACTTTGAGGAAGTCTGATTCCACATGTACTCTTTCATTTTGCTGGAAAACTTCTTGAAAGAAGCAAGTAGGAACTCAGTCAGCTTTCCTTCCTGTCTCACATAACGTGCCTAGTACTAATCAAACAATTTCAGATCTTTCCACCAAGTAAACAAAAAATAAATTGTAGCAAGAGAGACTTCATGCCTTTCACATTTTAGATAGGCAAAATAATCTAGATCACCATCACTTTAACCTGTGCTTCTGGAAAGCTTTTTATTTCAGGCAATGGCAGGTGAGAAAGAATGACTTTGTCTTGTATAGACCACTAAAGGTGTAGTTCAGTGAAGACTTTAAACTGACATAAATCAGCTTTACTGACAAAGGAAGTCATCTTATCTTTTCCTGTCTCCTGACTGATCATTTCCAATCCCATGTGGCCTCTTTTCCCTGACCAGTTACATGGTGAATGGTATTGGTAAAGTGATCCTCCTGAGATGATGAGAAAGAGTAGAAAACAGAAATTTGACTACTTAAGCAATATGAGTACGGGAAGGAGTAATGAAAGAATGAGCTCCTCTGTCCAGGTCCAGCTGTATAGAACGGTAAGATTAATCTACGTCAGCATTTTGATTTGAATCAGAAGCATGCCTCCAAGGCATACCTCCCAGCTCTCTGCACTTGCTACACTTTGGTTCGCATACTGAAGTGCTCTCAGTGAATACAAACTGTATTCCTTTCAACTGAAATTAAACCAGTAGATATGCCCCAACTATTCAGGGCCATTTGGTCCCTGGGACTGGAACCTTCTGAAGGAAAATACCAGCACAAGCATCAGGGTCTTGGAATCAACTTTTTGTTTTATAGGTATGCATTTATCAGTCCACAGTACTTGCCAGAGCAGTCAAAAAGTCCCTGGAGTTCTCCTGTCAAGAGTTAACTGTCCTGCTTTTCCTAAAATCCAACTTCCTCTCAAACGCATACTTGAGAGAGAGAATGAAATAGGGGCACAGAGGATGAAATATTTTTTCTTTTATTCAGTACCAATAGAACTGCAAATTAATGTCATTAGAAAGGGCAGAGACTCCTTAAAGAAGGCTGAGAGATCACTCAAGAGAATGATAAAGGGGAAAAATATAAAATCTGTATTGGGTGGATGAACTAATGAATCCTGATAAGGATCCAGTTGTTTAATGCTGTCCTATTTCTTATTTTTAAAATGTATTGATAAAATCCAGGCCACAGTTCTCGTGCTAAATTACGTATTTCTTTAAATGACAACCCCCTCCTGCCTCTTGCCTCCCTTTAATACACTATTCCAATTAGACTTTATTTTGGTGTCACTGATACTCTTGCTTTACAGCTGCTCTTCACACAGTTTTGTTTCTTTTTCTACTTCAAAAAATGAAGTCAGTGCATGGATGAATGAACAGGAACATCAGGCTTGTTTCCATGTACACCACAAATCTGTAAGACACAAAGTATTTCTTTGCAAGCAAAGACAGAGGAGAGAGAAAAAAAAATCTCCTGTCTAAGAACTAGTGCAAACTTAAAACTGGGATACCTCAGTCCTTATGTCAAGACATAAGATTTCTTTTTAACCCTTCTGAGAATTGCTGACTCCTTCCCTCAGGATTCCTAATTTAAATCCTTCTATCCTACTGTAAAGTGCCTCTAATTTGATAGGTTTTATTGTAATCTGAAACAAAACTTGTCAGATGCTTCCTTTTCCTGAACTCTCTTTCCTATCTTACCTACTTGAAAATGACTCCTACTTCATCACTAAAAATATTTATTTAGATATAGAGAAGGGTCTTAGCAAAAAGCAAGAAAGTTACAGTGATCAAGTACATTCTGTTTCCTGGGATGTACACCAAACAGTGAAGGTATGCGAGACAACAGAAGGGAGGCAGCCATGGAAACCTGTACTTTAGGGCATAGAAATTCACATGTACCTTAGCAAAAGGTGCATACCCTGACTGAGAAAAACATTGTGATGACCAACTTCATGAATCATGCATCAAGGAATCAGCTATCACTACAGTCTATGGAAAAAGCCCATCTCCTTATCGCGTACTTGAGGGAGAGGAGAAAGGGTAAAAGTAATGCAAATAAACCATAAATGGCTCAATGGTTTTGGCTGAACTAAACCATGACAGCTGAATTGCAGAGCGCAGCCCCAGGGCTAATGCTCCTATTTGCCATCACCCAGTTCTCAGGAGCTTTGTCTCAGATATCTGTACTGGGCCACTCTTCAGAGTCTTATTGCCCAGTAAGAGAAACTCTGGCAGGGTTGGAATGGTACAAATGGTGAGAGATCATCCCTCATGACTGGGATTATTTCAGTCCCAAAGCTTAGCCAACCTTAGCTCCAAATTTATTACCTTCTTTATGATTTCTCTCTGTTTTCCTCACAAGAAAACATAAAGCTCCTGTTGTAGGTGACTGAGATATAACTGGATGCTATAAACCCCAAAATGTCAGTCCCTGAATTGTAAATTTGTTGCTTTTCTATTTTCCTTCTGCTTCCTTGTCTTTTATATGAAGTTGCAAAAATACAGCTTTGGAGTCTTTTTGTCCCATTGGGCTAGTTTCACTTAATTTCAATTTAACTAAAGACTGTGTTTTAAGGAAAGCAAATATGCTCTCTCTTTGCTCATTTAATGAATATTCCACTTTTATTTGTACTTTCCATTGAGCAAGTAATTATGAGACTAATGTATAAACCTTCTACAGGTAATAATACTCAGACAGGAGCATGGAAATGCCATTCGGAATACAGCCCTGCTGCCTAAAGATTGCACCACATATGATGACAAGGAAAATACTTTAGCTAGTTTACAAAATTTGCAAACATTAGGCTGCAGCGCTACGCAGAAAATAAAGTACATATGAAATTACTGGCTTCTCTCGATGAAGCTTTTTCTGAATCTGAGGCATTCATAATGCTTCTTTATTATATGAATATTCTGGTATTTAACATGAATTGAGATCAAGCCACAGTCCTTTCCTGTAGGAGGGCTCGAATGCTGTCCTCCTCCCTTGGTTATTTTCCCTAGCTGGGTAGGATCTTTTTTTTTTTTAACTTTTGCTTCTTTTTAAAATTTGGCTAACAAATCCATTTGAAAGAAACTGGAAAAAATAAAGGAGATACATACACACACACAAAGTACAATCCCATAAGCCTTATTTTCACAGAGACCAGCTGAAAATGTCATCTACAAACAGCCAGAAATTGAAATATATGCATGCAAACAAAGAGGTGTCTGGAGTATAAAGGTGTCCTTTTTCCTTGGGGTACAACTGCATATACTCAATACTAGCCCAGAACGCAAGATTAACGCTGATTCTATAAACCCATACATCTTCTAATGAAAACACAGGAATATCTTTAGCCACAACAGAAGCAGAGGGTACTGAGGTCACCTCTGAGTGTGATTTATTTCCCCTTTAAAAAAAAAAAATAAATCTCTAAAGCAATGAGATGAATATTTCGTTTCTTTACACCCGGGACTTACTACAGCAAGTAATATAAGAAGAAAATTTATTCATGGGGTTTTTATTGACTGTAATTGACTGCCAACTGGATCAGAGGTATTTTACTACAAAATAATTGATGCAAGGAGCAGAAGAAAGATGCTCAGTTTTGGCCTCTCCTAGTCATACTTCCCTCTCTAACAAATGGATACAAGAGCTAGAATCTAACTCAGTATGTCTGTCATGTCATTCTTCGAAAACAATTCTTTCACAGTAATAAGAATAATTATTAAAATGTACTCTTTTGCATGTACATTACCAAAACACTGACAAAGTGTCATGCTGAATCCTGTGGTAGAGAGCACCACAATACAGATCACGCATATGAAAAACTTTCTGGTGCACTTTCTGAGTGAGTGGAAGAGATCAAATTATCCCCTTGGAGTAATTTATTAGTGTGACATTGCATAAACAACTAGGATATTTCTCATAATTTGAAGTTAAGTGGCTTGTGGGCAACTCCTACACAACTGACAAATTCCCTCATGTTTATCACAGAATTCTTCCTTCTGTCCCAGGTCAGATATGTACAACCTAGAAAGAAAGAACTGAAAGTTGCTTAGACTTAATACTGAAAATCAACAAGAAGATCATGGCTTGATCTTAAACAACAATACGTGAACAAGAAGATTGTGGTTATCCTTGGAATTCTTTCCTTGTGCTCCTGCTGCCTTTAACCATCCACATCACCAAGCCTCTTATGCACTGTCAGCATCATATACAGCAATCTGTTTTTCACTTGGAGTGAGTTTAACTTTGTAGCATGGTGACATACAGTATCACGAGGTCGTGATTTGCCAGTAGTGGGATAAAACATGGGACATTGACAAGAGCCAGTTGTTCTCTATTGCTGGTGGATTTAGAGTGATCTGAGATCTGTATCTCAGAGATAAGGATTTATTCCACTGCATTTTGACCTAAAGTCAACGATGAGTTGACAGCTTTGACTACATTGTGTGTCGCCCTTGGTATCTGCAAACCTAAAAGAGAGTGAAACTCACATTATGAAAAATTATGAGGCAAGCATAAGGTCTGCTCAAATACTTGCAACTTAATCTTCCACATTCCTTGTACTTCAACTCTATATCCATATAGACAGTATCTTGTGTGTGGCTAGCGTTATCTCTCCTTTTTGTAAGGTCTGTTCCAAACCTTTCCCCCTTAAATAGTTAGAAAATATCACAAGTAGCAAAACCACGTTTGTTATTGAATCAGTTTGTAACTCTCTGCAGAACCAGGATTCACATAGAGACCTCTGAAATAGTAAGATCTACGTGCATCATACCACACGGCTGGCATGCTTATTCTTCCAGGGTAAAATAGCATTACTTTGTTTTCCAATAGACAGAATATGCACCATCAGGCTGGTCAATCTATTGTTGAGATGAAGTAACAAAGATTTATACAGCAATCAGTTGTTATTAAATAGATACACTGAAAGAGAAAAATAAAGAGGAAAAAAGTATGTACCTGTTGGGTAGTGTTCATTCACTGGCCAGCTGTCAACCTGAAGTGTGGCATTGCCACCATTCCTGGTAAAGCGTACCACATGGTATTTGCCATCATTTACAGGTGTGCTTTCCTCTTTAATAGAGATGTCCACTGTGCCAATGTTGAAGACTACACCAATCTTGCCTTGCTCCTGAAATAGAAGAAAAAAGAAATAAAAGCTTGTAAATTGCTGCCTATTAGGAGAATGTTCTTGGCCTATAAATCTCCAATGGGTGATGGTGCCGGTAGATGGCACTGAAGAATACACAGAAGAAACGTTTTGAGCTTTGTCAGGACACATTTCATTGGCTCTGTTTCAATACAAACATTTGTCTTTTGCACTCTTTACAGCATTCACCTGAACATAGTGACTCATTTGTTCCCTTAAAACATCACAGAAGACAGGTGAGAAATCAGGCAATAGAAACCAGGAGATGTGGATAAATAGTTATTTGAGCAACATCTCTACTGATTATGAGTAGTCACTTGTTCAATTGTCATCCGCCCTACTGATTATTAGTAGTCACTCATTCAATTGTCATCCGAAACGCAGCCACAGGCAGGCTGTATCCCAACAACTGTTTTGTTCTGTTATTTTGCTTGTGAAATATATAGCCTCCACCTCAAAACAAATAACTGTGGGGTCCAGCAGGGAGAACGCAGTTAACAAGACAGATAGAATTAGAAGGGTGCAAAAACGTAATAAGCCAACTTTGACCACCCAAGAGAAGCTAATTGCTCTTAAACCAAATGGAAAACTTCCCATACTTTCAAAAGACAGGAGTGGCCACAGTCTTACTTTTCTACACCACATCCCAAGCAGTGCCATAGCAATAAAGCAGTCCTCTATAGTGTTTTCCCAAAACTTTCCACGAGTCACTGACTGAAAGGGAAGAGCAGGTAAAGCCAGTTGTACCAGCCATAACACTTCCTCCTGTAGCTTCCCTCATGAGGTTCCAAGTAATGACCATATTCAATGACATTAGGTTGTAAAATACACACCCAGAGTATATTCAGATTAGATATCCACATTTAATACTACTGACTTAAACAGTGCCAGAAATTCCCACCTCTGTACAATGTACAATTAACAGGAATGCATCTTCAAGCCCTGAATAAGGAGAGGCACAGTACGCTGCTGTAAACATTTATGAAGACATATTAAGTGTACTGCACAGATTCGAATCTGGTGCAGAAAGGCAGAACTAAAGTGTATCTTATAGGAAGCCCACACATTTGGTAGCCATCCATACTGTAAAATTTGCAATAGCTTTGTTAACTGTCTCAATAGAAAAATCGAGGAAGAAAAAACAGAGAGTAGATGGCCATCTCATACCCCAAAACGGCCTCTTCAAAACAAAACTGAGGTATACTAAAGGGGCAAGAGACAATTTTGTTACTGTTATTACCTTACATACCTGCTTGGTGGGCAGAGGACTCCATCCTTCAGGGCTGTTACCCTGACTGACTTCATTACATTCATGTTAGCAAATCTCAGCAACAGGAAAGAAACCTCTCACCTTGTACTTGAAGGCCACCTCAGATTCCTCTCCTGGATTTACTCCTGTCACCTAGAATCAACAGACCTTTTCCTTAAAATCCCCATGTCTTCCAATTTCTCAGAGAGGTCTTTCCTGATTCCTGCTTTACTTTACATTTAAAGTTTACTGATACCAAAATACTCATCACAAGTTCCTTTTTCCAAGTTCCTCATATCTTCAATACCTTTCTTTTTCTGGACTTTTTTTCCTAACAACATTTTCCCCAGTCCTCAGACTACAACACTGTTATGAGGAAAGGAAAACAAACAGTCCTGTGTCTGAAGAGGTCATTAAAAAATTTGGACTGTGCTTTGACTGCTTGAAGTTTAGCACTGTAACAGTAAGCACTCTAGTATTTTTCTCATTATAATGGTAATTTTTAAATTCTGTTAAATGTACACTGGATAGCAACACTGTCATGTACATTCACACTGCTATACTTTGGATGGACTTCCCTTCAAGATATCAATAATCTTTTTTCACCGTAACACGGGGTAAGTGGATTGCTTCTCCCAGCAGATGCATGAACTCAGATACGATTTGAAAATAATCAACCCTTCTTCTTTTATGCTACACCAAAAATAAGGGAGTTTTCAGTGAACAGAGATTTATTTCAGGTAAAACCATTGCTGGCACAGCTTTCCCGCTTCTTTGACATATGAAGCAAGCGATCTCCCAAAACTGTTTTAGTGAATCTTTTGCTGGTAACCATATAATTATCCATATCTGGATAGTAATTAGCGAAGAACAAGTGATTAACTTTTGCTCAAAGACTCAAAGAATGTCTACTGACTAGGTAACCTGGCTACTGACTTCACGTGGCTTTGCAAGGTGCTGCCTTATAATCAACGTCCTGGACCACCTCTCATACAGCTTTTCCAACACCAATACATTAATTTTCTTTTGCAAACTGTAGCTGCTCTGAGAAGAGACCATCCTGGTGAAGGCATAGCATGAGCAGGTAAGATGAAGAGCTGCACCTTGTCTAATGGAACAGATCTCCACCATCACAGAAGAGGAAAGGATTAAGAGGCATTCACCAGAGTGAAAGCTGCATACCTTCAAGCCCTACAGGCTTAACAAGGCAGAGATAAAAACTTGCAAGTGGAGAAAGGGATGGTGGGAAGTTTAGCTAACCTCCCCTGCTGAATGAGAAAATGTTTCTGATCTCTCCTTTGAGGAAAAGGAGATGGCACCTTTCACCATTCCCTTTCCCCAGGCTTGAAGGAAAAACCTATTTAAAGGACTAGTGATAACCCATAGATAAAAGGCAAACTGGGAAAGAGAGAAGATTCTGGAAGGACTGCAAACGCCAGTGGCCTTTACTCTGCTGGAGAGAGGAAGGGAATGAGCAAACTGGGGACCTCCCCATCCCAAGTAGCTTGCAACCCCTTTCCACAGCCCAGGGAACACAGCCCTTCTAAAAGCAGCGTAACACTTTGTTGCAACTGAGAAATGCAAAAATTTGTCTAAAAAAAAAATCATGAGTCTGACTGAAGACCTACTCCACCTCTCCTCAGTCCTGCCTTGGACAGATGTCCCTGTGACTCTTTAACAGAAGTTTTGCAGAAGCACAACTTCATGTCAGATTTTATTATTTATTTAGTTCAAATACTCTTATTTGGACTGAGTAGGAGCTTGTCACGAAAATAGTCCTGTTCCAGTTACCAGGATAAAACACAATATAACACAATCCTCCAAAAGCAGGGCCATTGGAACCAAACTGCACACACAGACTTCAAGACAGTTTATTCATGCTATTTTATATCTCTAGGGCACCAGACACTACAAAAAAAAAAGCAACCATTAGTTTATGCATTCCCGGCAGAAAAAAAAAAAAAGTAAAGAAAAACACAAAGAAAATCCTACAGCAAAGAACAGTGATCATGGACACAGGGGGTAAATCCGGGATTTATTTTCAAGATCTCTTCAATTTCAGTTTCCTACACTACAACATCTCATTAAAAGCAGCTTTTACCATGACCTACCTTCCTTCTAAATCTGAAAGACAAGCTTTACAGTTAAACTTTAACACTTCATGATGGACGTGACCTTTCGTTCCTTTCCCCATACGTTCAGTTAGTAGATTTTTCTCTCCACGTTACCAAACACAGGTATTAACTAGACCAGGAAGCACGTGACAAAGAAAGATTTACCTTTGAACCACTATCTGTAATGTTTATCTTGTAGTTAGAGAGAAAAAATCCTAACCAAAGGCTGAATACAGAGCCACACAGAGTATGCAAGTTACGTGCTCCAAGAGGGCTCAAGAGAATTTTAACAGACTGTGTGCATTTTTTCCTCTCCGCATTGCTATTCACTAGGCTGTCCCAACACTTTCCATGAAGAGGTGACCATTAATTAACCTTTTTGAAACCTCCAAGTGACATCAAATGCTGGCACTATATCTTGGAAAAACTGAAAACTATTTTATTTATAAATAATGAAGTGAACTCAGCATTCAATCTGTATTTTACTTCTCCCCTTCTTTATTTAATGATACTGTGCCAAAAAAGATTTTTAAAGTTCCTTGAGAATTTATCTTTTACTGATTTGTCCCATAAAATTGCTGCCCTCAAAAGCCACATTACCGTTTCCTCACTTAGCAGTCCTTCTGGAGATAAACTTCTGCCATGATGTCTCTAAGACTTCAGGCAAATAATTATGATCACATAATGGAATGGCTGTAGATAAATTTTATGAACAAAAAAAGATCAAAGTTCTGAAAAGAACGTACAAGGCCTCACCTTGACCTCTCCGTTCTACACCATGTCCTTCCATAGGCTCCCGGCAACAGTTTCTTGTTATATTCATCGTTAACAAAACATTCTGAACATTATTAAATGATAGAGAGGCTAATCTACAGTCTGGATCAGGAGATCTGCAATCTATTGCTTGTCCTTGAGCATTATTTCACTCTGGGCAACTTTTTCTTTTACTGTGAAACAGATTCTTCATCTGTGACAGAGGGGTGATAGTCACCTATCTTTCCAAGCTCTACAAACCTTGTAAATCCATATATATTTTACTTAAACATTGATGATATTCTGACAATTCCAACCCTTTCAGCCCTGAGACTGACTACAATCCAAGAGAAGCAGGTCTTAAGGTTTTCTCAGCTTCTACTTCCAACTCCTCCAAAACTCATTCCTTTGCTCTGAAGGCATCTTGGAAACATTTTTGACATTTTTGCAGGTATGTTTTTTCTTTTCTTTTTCATCCACCCGGAGAGAACTAGAGTCTGTCTGCACGCGAATTGTCAAGCCTTTTTCTCCATGCTGTGTCTTTACATTTTGAAGGCATCTGTCTTTCTGTGGAAGGCCAGGTGGAAAGAAATGCAAATGGGTGCAGCAGTGATTTTGTAAGATGAGCAGTTGGAGTGTATTAGAGAGGACACATACATTAACAGCCACATGCACTGTGTGCCCCGAAAAGGGCTTTAACTTTTTCATCTTCTTTTTCTTAATCTAAAATTCAGATAATTCAGACTGAAAATATATAGCTGTTCCCCGTGTGCAGAAAGCATTTCATTTCAAAAACCAACAGAGAATATCCCAGGCAAAAGGACAAATCCTACTCTCAGCTGCATCAATATGAACAGAATTGCTAT